GAAGATCAAAATTTTGTTTTGAAGTGAAGTTGAATGGATTATATTCCTCATATCCATCATATATTCTTTGTTGAAATAAAAGATGGAATATTTGAAGAAATGTCTAAGAAAGTTCGTTATATGTCGACATAGATGAGTTTCAAATTCCACGTTTTGATCGTTTCCCGAATAACCAAAAACGGTACTAATTAGAACATCCCGTTTATTTCGTTCTTTATTTCGTAGAAAATAATAATGTTTATATATTTACCTTAATTACCATGCTAAATATAGATTAAAATGGCTAGTGGTGACATAATAGATGACTACCACATTGTTTCATTAATCAACCTAAATAATTAATAAATAATTCAAGTTTTAAAACATTAATATCACATGATACATGTTTGAATTTATAATTCAGATTTCTCCTTTTTAGACACCTATAAATAATATTTTAACCCCAAAAGAAAAAACAAAATAAATTCAAAAAGTTGGATTCAATTAGGTTTAGGTTGATGTATTGTTTAATAAATTATAAATAAAATTATCAAATAAAATAATTATTATTATTATTTTTCTTTTTCTTTTGGCTTTTGAATATAATTTATTATTATTTTTCTTTTGGCTTTTGAATATAATTTTTAAAATACTAAAACAACAAGCATTTGACTATAAACTGAACCCCTCAATATTGGTCAAATGTTTACAATGGATATGGAATAAAAAGATGTGTAGATATTCCAAGAGAGCATTTTCCATGGATGCCCTCAAACCATGCAACATTAGTCAACATACATTCACATCATATATGCCAAAGCCAATATTAGGTTCAGAAAAGTTTTCTTTTTCTAACTCAAAAATAATGATATATACTCATTTTAAATGGGAAAAATTGTATGAAAAAGTAACGTACTTTGTCTTGATTCTTGTTATGGGTAATGTACTTTCAAACAAATATATTTACATGTACGAAGATTAAGCATAATAAAAAAATGAAATTGGTCAATCAAAAAGAATTCTTATTATTTAAGCAAACAAATAAACATGAAAAGAAGTTGATCAATATCATACCAATAGGAACCTTGTGTCATTGTTTTTTATTATTATTATTATTAACTTGAATATCTAATCCGCTATGCGAGTCGACTAATTTTAGTGCGACCACATGTTTTGCAGATATCCCGGAGTCACCACATTTGAACCTCCGTGGCCACAAGGGGATTTTTATTCATCTTTAGATTTGAACTTGAGATCTCCTGGTACTTTTGACCTTTGGAACCAAGCTCAAACCAATCAGACATCATTCTTGTGCTTTAAAATAGTATGAAGGGATTGAACTTCGATTTACTTAATTGTGATGGTTCTTTCAAACAAATAAAACTATCTTTTCAAAACACAAAAAATAATATAAAATAATAAATAAACAGTTTTGGATAAAATATAAAATTTACAAAATGTGTCGTACTTGACGTTCTGAGAACAACCCTTTCAATTGTATTTTTTTTTTAGATTTTATAGAAACTGTGATTTTATTTATCATAAAAAAACTAGTTATTCAAACAGTTAATCATTAACGTTCTAGAAGGAGTTTATGGACGATCGTCTATACTTGAAAGTTCTTAAAAAAACCATCATAATAAAAATGTATAAAAAACATTATGTTTTGCAAAATGGGTGATCATGTAGAAAGAAAAATGTCAAATGTCTATTTTTTTTTATTAACCTAGATATCCAATCCGTTATTTCGAGCCGATTAATCCTGAGCGATCACCTGCTTTGCAGATAGCCCGAAGTCACCAAATTTGAACCTCTCTGGCCACAAGGAGATTTTTTTTCCTCATTTGATTTGAACCTTAGATTGCTTATTAAAGTCTATTATTAAAGAAAAGAATAATTTACGTCCTTATGGTTAGGTGAAAGTAACATATCAAATCCCTCAAACGAAATAATTACAAGCATGACAATATTATTTGTAAAGCTCTTTCGTCGACCAGGAAATCATTACAAGACTATCAATGTAGTCTTAATTTATTACCTTCTGCTAACTGCCTTAATTAAAAAATATCATTATGGTGTCATGACATGAGGGTATTTTGAATATTTTACACTTTTATTTTATAAATTTTATACTATACATCTTTAAAATATATATATATATATATATATATATATATATATTGGCTTCCGGTGAGAAGAAGAGTTAATGTGAGAAGCGCAAAAAAGGATCTCCACCCTTGAATCCATATTAAAATGAGATGTAGAGGATGAATCCACATATCAAGCATGATTCATGGGTGAATTTGAGATTAAAAATGATCAAGGATTTAGATCTTTTATATATATATATATATATACGAATGATCGTGTGAGAAAGAGAGTTAAGATAAGAAGCGTAATAAGGGATCTGGACCATTGATTACCTTTAATTCCAAATCCACTCATGATTCGTGATTGATAAGGGGATTGATCTGTTATAACTCATTCTAATGTTCATCCAAGAGTAGAGATTTCTTCTTATGTTTCTTACCTTCACCCTCCTCACCGGAACCCAACCATATATATATATATATATATATGGTTNGTTGGGTTCCGGTGAGGAGGGTGAAGGTAAGAAACATAAGAAGAAATCTCTACATATATATATATATATATATATGTAGATATATATATATATATATATATATATATTTGTGTATGTGTGTGTGAGAGAGAGAGAGAGAGAGAAAGAAACATTTCTAAAAAAAAGTTAAATTTGATGGTTTGAAAATGAAATAAGGAAAAGTCTAGAAAAACTAACAAACTATCTGATTTTGAACTATTATGTCCTTAAACTACTTTTTTGAATGACAAAACCCTTAAACTTTCTACAACCGATTAAATGCATCCTTGTAACCTATAAAATTTGGGAAAAATCCAAAAGAAAACAACAAATTATCTGTTGTTGAATGATAAAGTCTCATATCTTTTTAACAAATAAATCCCAGTTTTTTCTCCTAAATTTTTTTACCAAATAAATTCTTAAACTCATTTGAACAAATAAATCGCAAACTTCATTTTTTTTTTAAAAATCATGAACTTAATTTTGAACAAATAAATCTAGTTTGAACAAAAATATATATACAATTTCTCTCACCAATAACAAAATACAATAAACCAATTAACCAGAGAATAATTACATCATTTGCTTTTCTAATTCTAGAGCATACAAAAGTTATGCTTTAAGCATAAATTAAGTTCATTAACTTAATTTTTGTATGTATAAATGTTTTTGTATGCATCTATTTATGCTTTCGGCATAACTTTTATATGTTTCAAAATTAATAAACGTTATAACTTTTTCTGTTTAATTGGTTCCTTATACTTTGTTGTGAATATGAGGAATCATTTTAAGGATTTATTTGCTAAAAACATAAGAACTTAATCATTTAAAATTAGATAGTTTGTCAAGTTAACATGTTTTTACATGTTACAAGGATGTATTTAACTGATTTAAAAAAAAACCCTAAATTCATAAAACAGTTTAAATACTTAAATCATTTAAAATGTTGTGAAACAAATATAAAGGTGGTGTGAGGTGTGTGGAGAGAGTCCACACATAAAAGAGAAAGAATCTAGAAGAGGAGAGTGCCATTAATGGAGTTAGGGTTGGTTAAAGTGGATGTTATTGGGGGACAACCTGAAGTTAGGCCCCCAATTATTTTCAACTCACTCTCATTCTTTCTTGTTTTATTCTCTTTTTGGTACCCTTTTGTCAACCATCAAAAACCCCACTTGGTTTCTCAATTACATGCATTTGGACACACTTCTTCCTCTCTTTTCTTTTTATGTTTTTATGTCTACATATATAATCATCATTAATTTTCCATCTTTTTTATATACAAAATATGTCACAACATTTTAAGTACATGTTTTATAATCGTTTATCACCCCATAAATTTAGTATCTAACTCCAAAAATTTCATATCATCCGCAAGTTTAGTCCCTAATCCCACCGCCATTCTCTTTTACTGCACATCTGATCAACGAAAAGAAAAGATAAATGCATGGTTTTGGTTTTAGGGTTTTGTGTTACAAATATTTGAAATGAATTTGCACAAGTTTTGGTGATGATATATATTCTTAATGATGATGTTATTGATGATGATGATGTCTTGATGAAGGATTTTTTCTTAGATGCTTTACACAACTTTACAATAAAAAGTGTAAAAGAAGGATATAAACTGACTAAATTACCCTTACATAACTAACACGATTTCTATAATTTACTCTAAAAACATATGCATCTACAAAAACCTATTCAAGCTCTTATAATAACATTAGATGAATTTTCATCATAATATTCCCAATTACCCTTGGGAATTTCTTTTAGCTTCTTATAGAATATATGTGATGTCAACAAAAACTTAGGGACCGTTTACCAAACGTTTATCCGGGTAAACACTTATCAAGTCATGTTACCTCACCGGATGAATATGGTGAGGACCAAGAATCTTACCCGGTAAGAGCAAGACAAGGACCAAAAGTATTAGGCGATAAATGCGGGGGACGACTCTTACTATGGTAAGCGTTTACCGGATAAATTGTTGCATACGATATCGTTTTGGTGGACTAAGATCTTACCTAATAAGTAAATAATAGTATTAGATTTTACTGATAAACACTTACCATGTAAGTATCACATAATTCATAAGTAATTAATACAACTACAAAATCATGCATCATATCTTTTTAAATTTGAGATTAAAATATTTTAAATGTGTGAATGCACCAATAATTTATATCTTTTTTCCTATTAAAGCTAGTTGACTCTTGAAGGTACTTGGCAATTTCCAATTTGCTTGGCATGCAAATTTGATTTTTTATTATACCGACAATGCCCTCACAAGGGGTGGAATTCCAATCTTATCCTTGTAGAGATTTCCTTTATATAGATGTTGCAATGGACAAAAGCTTTGCAACTTTTGAATCTTGGTTTCCCAACCTCTTCATTTCATCACTACTGTATATTTATCAAAGCTATGAGAAGAAGAAGAATGGGCATCATAAGCTTAGACTCAACTTTGAGCCTTCCAATGGCTACTCAAAACCCTAGGGTTGTAGTTGAAGAAATTGGTGGCCTAATTAGGGTTTACAAAGACGGACACGTGGAAAGACCCCATATCGTTCCACGTGTCATGTGTACGTTACCTCCTGAACTAGGGGTAACATGTAGGGATCTGGTGATCGACAAGTTTACAAAGGTTTGGGCGCGTTTTTATGTTCCAAAACGCAATGAGAAGCTTCCCTTACTCGTTTATTTCCATGGAGGAGGGTTTTGTGTTGGTTCGGCCGCATGGAGTTGTTACCACGAATTTCTCGCAATTTTAGCTACTAAAGTTGGTTGTGTGATCATGTCGGTAGATTACCGTTTAGCCCCTGAGAACCCTCTTCCGGCTGCCTATGAGGACGGCCAAAAGGCTTTGATGTGGCTGAAACAACAAGCTCTAAGCGCGTCATCCAACAAATGGTGGTTGAACCACTATTGCGATTTCTCAAGCGTGTTTTTGGGTGGCGATAGTGCTGGCGGCAACATAGCACATAACGTGACGTTAAGATTGGGTGCCGATTGGGCACAGTTAAAACCATTAATCTTGAAAGGTAACATTCTAATCCAACCCTTTTTTGGTGGAGAAGCAAGAATGAGTTCCGAAAAGTTCATGGTCCAACCACCGGGGTCTGCGCTCAACTTGGAGGCCTCGGACACGTACTGGAGACTATCGTTACCGAAGGGGGCAAACCGGGACCATGAATGGTGCAACCCAGGGGCAAAAAGGTCAATGAAGTGGGAAAGAATGAGGTATATGGTATGTGTATCAGAAATGGACATTTTGAAAGATCGGAATATGGAATTTGGTGGGTTGTTGAGGAATATAGGCATAGAAGTAGAAGATGTGGTGTACAAAGGTGTTGGTCATGCATTTCAGATTCTGGACAAGTCTCAAGTTTCACAAGTGCGAACTCAGGAAATGATTGCTGACATCAAAGCATTCATTAACATTAACATTAACATTAACAGGAATAGAAGATGATGTCTCTCCATAAATTAATTACAACTCTTGTAAATTATATATATTCATATATACTTTTAAATGGTTAATTTCTCTCTTATGATTCAAACTATAAAACTACAGGTTTGATGAGGTTTTTGGTGATGAGAAACTAACAGCCATTTTAAAGGATTTCGTGTGAAGAAAAGTTTTGGTGAGAAGCATAAAAATAGATCTAAACCTATGATCCATTTTAATCTCATGTCCACCTATAAATTGCGCTTCAAAAAAAATTGGTCATGTGCATCTCGATGCACCTCATTAGTGTTGACATTCAATTGAGATTGATCCAAATGTGAATATTTATTTTTATGTTTCTCACCATAATTTCTCTTCTCAGATGAACCCAACCATATATATATATATATATATATAGAGAGAGAGAGAGAGAGAGAGAGAGAGTGAGTGAGTTATTATGCAACCATTTACATTTGTGAAACTAATACAACTCAATCTCAACCGTCCATTTAATTTGATAAATATGTGATTTCATAAAAGTTTAGATTGTGTTCTAATATAAAGTATTGATCATAATTAATGAACCCTAGTCATCTTTCATAAATATTCAAATCATAACAAATGAACTCTCATCATTTCCATAAATATTTCAATTGATCGGGTTGCATTGGTTGTACAAATGTGATGAATTGCATTTGAAACGTTCTCTGTATGTATGTATGTATGTATGTATGTATGTATGTATGTATGTATGTATGTACGTATGTGTGTATGTGTATGTATGTATGTATGTATGTATGTATGTATGTATGTACGTATGTATGTACGTATGTATGTATGTACGTATGTATGTATGTACGTATGTATGTACGTACGTACGTACGTGTATGTATGTATGTATGTATGTATGTATGTACGTACGTATGTATGTATGTATGTATGTATGTATGTATGTATGTATGTATGTATCTTGCATTCACATGAGATCAGCCTACTTCAGTGAGACCACAAAATAACACTGAAGTTTCACAGTACAACATTGTGAATGTACGAAACACCGCAACTTTACAGCAAGAACATTGTGATTGTTTACCTTCTTTGTCTTTTGTTGTTAAGGTCTAGTGTTATTTATGTGGTCTCACGGTCTAATCTCACATGATCTCAAGTCATATATATATATATATATATATATATATATACACACACACACACAGAGGAAGGATCGTGAAAGAAGTTAAATATTTTATGAAAAGACGAGAGTTTTCAATATCATAAAGATTACACTTCATTAGGTGTTTAATCATATATGATTAAGCTTTTATGTGTTGTCACTACAACATGTGTTATATGATTAAGCTTATATATCAACGTGTAATCATATATGATATTGAAATTTCTTGTCTTCTCTTAAAATGATCTTCCCCTATATATATATTCATAGAAAATTATAAATTGATGATAAAATGGGTGTATAAACGTTATACAAGTCCATTATGCACAAAATACACTCGTGCACATGGAATATGTGTCCATGAATGTGCAAGTTCATATATAATTTCTTATGTTTGTTTTTGTTACTTTTTTATTGTTTGTTTTAAATATATTATCTATACTATCTTATAAAGCATTTGGCTAAAACTCTTAAACTCGTTCATCCCTAAACGATTTCATCCCTATCCAATTTCATCCCATATCTGAATTCATGTAACTAACTGCAGATAAAAACAATCAAATACAGGATAAACATCTCATTTTAAATATAAAAAATCTAAAATATAATTAGTATAATCATTAAATTCTAGCATAATACTTAATTATTATCTTTATAAAATTTATAATATTAAACCAAAAATAAATTG